TTTTTTTTTTTTTTTTTTTTTTAAAGCAATGGAATGTGATATAATAGTGTTACAAGTTGACTTAAATGAACCTTCACATTGCCTAATCTTATTAACAATGTTGTAGGTAAGCTGTTGAGCAGCTAGTTGTAGTTCATTTTAGAAGAAATTTGTCACAAGAAACATGAAAACATTAAAACCTATTTTCCTTGAGATTGACTTGATAGAAACTTACTTTAACTCGGTTGATTAACCGAAAATGAATTTGAATGGAAATGCATTTTTCCATCAAATTTTGCTTGAGAGGCCCAAGAAAATGTTAAATAATTCTAGTTTACTGTCAACTTCAATAAGATATTCGCTGTTAAAAATGCCATTCTAAAAAAATTTATTTATATTTTATGAGTTTGCTTGTATAAGATTTTGATAAACTGTTACTGTAAAATTCAATAAAAAATGATGGTTTGGAAGGACAGATAGCACTTCAAATTTCACTTGTGTTATATCAAATTTCACTTGAATTCAAATCATCGTAAAGTATGAAGCGAATATCAGGCTCTATATGGTATTGATTGTGATACTTTGGTTCTTTTGAATGCATCTGCTACAGGCTCTTAAGGTAGCATTCATATGAGGAACAAGTTGCTTTTGTGTGAATTAAGAGTCATATCAGTCATCCAGCTTATGTATTTTTGTATCCGATGGCATTTTATTTCAGCTATAGCAGTTAAATGTTTCTTGTGAAAGGATTCATGGGTAAATGCTTCCTATGGCAGAATTCAGAACAAAGGCGTGCTCCATCTGATCTAGATCAAAGTTCTATGCTTAAGGTGATTTGCAACCAACGGGATCGATTTCGAGCACGTTTGCGGGAGACTGAAGAGGTTTGTCTAACCAACTCTGCATTACCTGATGCGTTTTGCTGTCAATAATTCTTATAGTTTTTTAATGAGACAATTGCAAATTTGGTTCCACATATTTAGTTGAGTTGCAATTTTGGTCCTATTGTGCAAAGGAGATTCTTTAACTCTTTTATTTACAATTTTGGGAGAAAATTGCAAATTTGGTCCCGTTAAATTTAAGTGATCGCAATTTTAGTCCCAACAGGCGCATATTTGGTCCTTATTTTATTTTTGTTGCGCAATTGGTCCCAAATCTAACTGACCGTTAAGTCAGCGTTAACTCTCAGGACTAAAATTGCAACTGTAAGACTAAATTTGCAATTTTCTCATATTTGATATATATAAAATAACTTTTCATTTTTTTTAATTTTTTTATAATTTTATTCACATCTAGAGTTATATTTTTATTTTTTATCAACCACTATAATAATAATAAAACTAAATGATGATTTTCTAAATATATTTATTATTTAATTATAATATTTGAAATATAGAAAACATTGTATTGCAATTAATATTTTTAACATCTTAATAATTATATAAATTTAAATTTATTTGAATTTATATATATCAAATATATTTAAGTTTATATTTTTTATATTAAAAATATTTAAAATTTTTTGTTTTATATCAAATATTAATTTAAAAAATATGAATTAATTAAAATTATTTTATGAATTTAAGTTTATACTTGTGTTATATTAAAAAATATATAAATATGAATTTAAAAAACATATCAAATAATAATATTTTTGTTGTTATATATCAAATATGAATTTAATATATATATATATATATATATATATAATATACATACAATTGACCAGTTTGATCAACTAATTCTGACTGGTTCATCGGAAACTAGTTCGTTCAAAGGAATCCAACCATTTGGCGGATTCTAAAAATTAAAAATAATAGTAGTTAATAATATTTTAAAAATAATAGTAGTTGATTTTATTTTTATTTTTATTTTACGTTTTAAATTTTTGTGAAACTCTAAAATTATATTTTTATTTTTTATCAACCAATATAATTATAATAATATTAAATAGTTATTTTTTAAACATATTTATTATTTCATTAAAAATATTTTCAATACAGAAAACATAATAATATAAATTCAAATATATTTGAATTTATATATATCAAATACATTTACACTTATATTTTTGTTATATTAAAAAATTAAATATTTATTAACTTATTTAAGAAATATATATATTATTGACCAGTCCATTCAATTACTCCTAATCAGTCTATTGGAAACCGATCCGTTTAAGGGAATCAAACCGTTTAGTTGACCGATTCTCGATTCAACAAGTTTGGCCGAACTTTCAAACCAATAGTAGTTGGTATTACTTTTATTTTTATTTCCATTTATAAATTTTATTAATCTCTATAATTCTATATTCTAAAAAAAATAAATAATTATTATTTTTTAAATATATTTATTATCTAAAAAAAATT